TATATATATAGAGAGAGAGAGAGAGAGAGAGAGAGAGAGGGATAGAGAACTATAAAGCCGGAGGGCGGATGCAGGATGACCATTAGTCAAGCCTGTCAGGGGCCGCGGAGATGTTCTTAAGAAGGAGCTTGAGGATACACTCACTCGGAATCCAAGGCTGCGGGGAGAACGCACGAAATCGAAATGTATCGGCGCTGGGATCAGGCATCGGCCGAAGCTGCGTAATCGTGCGATTAAAACGCGAGATTGTCACATAAGGTCGCTCATATTCATGTAATGAAAAAGAAAGAAAAAAAAAAAAAGGAACTCGCGCGAGTAAACGCTCGTTGAAAGATATTTCCATTCGATATGCAATTCTTGTTGGGAAATTCATGAATACGCGATGAATTATCGGCTGATTCGCGATGTCCGATCAGGCTTATTGGGAATCGTGAAATCGAGCTCGAAAAAAAGGTCGCGTCCCTCTAAAACTATACCGATTGTTCCGATATTCCGCCCGGGACAGTCAATCCGCCTCGCGCCGCTGACAGCCGATGATGAAGTTAATGACGGAATCTCGATTCCAGAACACGCGCCGGATCCTCGCCGCTACCGTATTCCCTCGCAGCGGCGCGATGTAATCCATTTTCCCGGATGCGTAAACCGCGAAGGAGGAGGAGTGGGTAATCCCATCCCGTTTGCGCGATCCCGAGGCGAGCGGAACGCGCGAACAGAGATAGCGAGATGGACAGATAGATGGATCGCGACAACCCGGACGTCACAGCGAGTAGTGAGTGAAGAGTGAAAGAGAAAGAGAGAGATGGGGGGAGGGAGAGGGGGGCGAGAGAGAGAGAGAGAGAGAGAGAAAGAGAGAGGGCGACAACCGGGAGAAGACGGGAGAGGGACGGGAGAAGAGAGCGAAGGCGAGAAAGCGAAGGGAGAGTGTGAGAAAAAGAGAGAGACGGATAGAGGGAACTTATGCCGGGGACGAGCAGGGCGAAGAGGAGGACGAGAGGCGGGCGAGGGGGGAAGAGGGAGGCAAGAAGAGAGGATGAATGCGAGAGCGGGACGGGGCCAGCGGGGGTGAGGGGAGGCGAGAGAGGGTGGAACGATGTACCACCACGAAGTACGACGACGCGGCGGTAGGAACGCGGCTGACGCCGAGCAAAAACGATCGGCGCTGTCTGCCATGCTTTTTGCGGGCATCACAGTTTCCAACCTCTCTCCTCCTGGCCGTTTCTAGCTGCTGGTATCTCTCCCGGTTGCCGCTCTCGCCGCTACGCCGGGCACCCAATTCTCGACGCGCGAGCGCGGCGGTTACCGCCCGGCTTCCGCGGGATATCGTCGCTCCGCGAGTACATCCGCGGAGTATACAAGGTGCCTGGGTAATTGGCGGTCGCGATCGGGGATAAGTCGATTTCCAGGAGGTACACCCCTCCCCGCCCGTCGACAGGATGAACAGTCAATAAATGAGAGAAAACCGGTACGATCCCACGATGGATTTGATGACGCGAGCGGCGCGGGAAAATGTATCGAGTTGATGCGAAAGTCTTGTCGCTTCTCGCCGTTGAAGGTCTACTTTAAACAAAGTTATCAATTTTCGTTCCAAGAGCTCGAAGAGTTTTTAAAATCAAATATATAAAATCTTGTTTTCAGACGAAAAACATATATTGGAGGTCAATGATGATTATTTTAGTTCGCGAAAAATTTGTTTCAACTTTGAATTTATTTTGACATACACGACAAAGCTTTTTGCACCTTTTGAACTTAATAGCTCTTGTCGTATATTTCACGATTAATAATTGTCCATTGACAATTCACTTTTGCGAGATCGAATTGTTCGTAGTTTTCAGTACCGGATTCGCGGATCGTTCAACATGATGTTTCCGATGAAGCGAGGGATATGATGAGAAGCGGGAGACACCGGGGATAAGTTAAAATGAATCAACTTTCGCGGCACGTAGCATCGCGTTCGTTATGCGCGCTTTTTACGAGCGCAACAATTTTCAATCGACTTCTTCTTATTGCCACGGCCAGTCGCAGCTGCCGCGAAATTGCACTTGATCCTTGTGCGACGTCTCCGATATTTCGGTATGTCCGAGAGGATCTCCTCGCGTAATCGCCAACGATTTCGTTTCTTCGTGCGCGATTCAGTTGCGAAGGAGAGAGATATTCGTGAGATTCAAAGATTCCTCGCGCTACGCAACGAACGGACACACGAGATTCGCGGCACGGACGGAATATTAATGAGCGGGCGAGTGAAAAATTACCCTTCGTCTTTAATGAATCGTTAGCAAGTCAGAGATGCTAAACAGCTCGTTGTATCATCGATACGCGTTGAAGAGAGAGAACGCGCGCGGATTCGTTGCCTCGCTTTTTGATGAATGCCCGAAGAACCAAAAACATTATGCGGAAAATTATGAGCGCGATTTATCCTTTGACAGATTTTATCGTAATAAGCAACTCTTGATTTATACCGACCTGTCACCGATCCGCGTTCGAACCCTCTCGCAACGATGCGCATCGATATTTAATTTTTCGCCGCGAATGCCGAAAGCCGATTATCATCGCGGACAGAACGTGGATAAAATCATGATAAGATATTAATCGTTAATTCGAAATTCTTGTTTTCGAAAGAATCGACGATATATGAGACACATTTTTATTCGCGGCGGGAACAAACAAGCGCGTGTCTGTGTGTAGGAGTCGGAGCGAAACATACTTGAAGCTATCAGCCTTGATATTATCCTCTCGCATATTCCATTTTATCAGCGCAACAATCCTTT